TGTACGTCCGTTTTTGGAACAATATTTGTAAAATCCCCTGAATTGTAAATAGGGTTGGGCAATATTGGCAAATAAATTAATCACGATTAATTGTGGTATTTAGTCGATAACAATTAATTTGACGATTAATCCCCTGGAGTCCCTGGACACCCTTATGTCCTGGTAACATGACCAATTTAGTGGGAAAGATTTGCTCTTCATAAAAATCTGTTCCAAATTGTGTCAAAATTACAGACTTCAGGCTATACATCAAATTTTAAATTGTGTTGATAGATAAATAAATTACAGAACCTTTTTTTTTAAATGTTCGTCATATTTGAAGCAGAGAGGAGCACYGAGCGGATTGACTGGAGAAATCTCCCCTGGTGGCATTAATTGTATTAATCGTCAAGTGCCAAAAATTAATCGATTAATGTTCTTCTGACCATTAATTGCACAGGATACGATTATGCCCAACCCTAATTGTAAACATCTTTATGTTAGGTAATGTAAATTAACTGGCGGTCATTTAGAATTGGTTTGATTCAGTTGTACATGTACATACAGTAATATCTTAGTACCCAATTTTTAAGCAAGGATTTTGTGCAATGTGTATCACTCTGAGTATGTGTTCAGAGTAGGGTTGGGCATAATCGTATCGTGTGCAATTAATCATCAGAAAACATTAATCGATTACTTTTTGGCACTTGACAATTAATACGATTAATGCCAGCAGGCAGACTGACTGGAGATTACTCCGGTCAGTCTGCTTGGTGCTCCTCTCTGCTTCAAATTTGACGAACATTAAAAATAAATTTCTGTAATTAATTTATCTATCAACACAATTTAAAACATGATATATAGCCTGAAATCTGTAATTTTCACACAATTTGGAACAATTTTTTATAAACAGCAAATCTTTCCCACTAAATTGGTCATGTGACCAGGACATAAGGGTGTCCAGGGACTCCAGGGGACTAATTGTCAAATTAATCGTTATCGGCTAAATACCACAATTAATCGTGATTATTTTTTTTGCCAATATTGCCCAACCCTAGTTTAGAGCAACCTCAGCTACTACTATACTATTAGTTAGCACAATATCTGTAAAACTGACTGAATTGTAGCCTTTTTTGTGTTTTAGGCTACGATGGTCATCTTGGTTTGGACTGACTGCAAAAATTAATCATCTGTAGAGGTAAATCCCCTTATTATTTCCTGGGAGTTTCATTAGCATCCATCAAGTGGTTCATCCGAAATTTCAGTCACACAGATCTGTCTGACTCCAAAAAGATGGTGGCAAAACAGTAACGCAAAAATCTTCTGTCAGCACTTAAAATATGTGTTGTGGCTCGTCTCATTCTCCACCACACTAACTTTTATCTCAGTGTCCGTAAGCTTGACTGAGTTATAATTATCAGTTTTTAAGTACAGTGACAGTCATTTTATACAATTCTGGCTCTAAAAGTTAGTTGTAGCTGTAAATCTAATTATCTGAGTTTTTCAATAAAAAAAAATTGCCCAGTGTTTCATGTGATATTTTAGTACAGGAACACAAATACACAAACAAAACATTATCACCCGCCACTGTGTTTCGGAGAAAGAAAAGGAGCTGCTTTGATTTCTGGTCAAGTGTGTCCCTTTCTTAGCAGGGTGGTCTTTACGGTGAATTACAAACTGCTTTCAAATCCCACCCCTATGGCAACTATATTTCCTCTCAAAACATAAAAACTGTTGAAGTGGTGGGAGGAGGAGGTGGGGGGTGTTCTGGCGCGCCGTGCGCATGCGCAGTACAACCTCGCCTCGGGCGGTCTAATAAAAATTAGCAAATAAGTAACCTGAAGGGAAAGATTTAACAAACGGGTGAAAAAAAAACTGGGTTCTACAGTAACAACATGTGTCAAAAGTGTACATTATTGATGGGGAGTCGTTCGTTCAAGGCTGAAGATGAAAATAAAGTATTTTTGAGCTACCTGCGACATACCTGAGCATGTCCAAAAATGCATGTCACGACTAAAGTAGCTTCACAAACATGTTCATTCCTCCTGAAGTAGCTACTAACGTAAATTCACAGTCGTGTCGTCTGAAGTGACATTTTAATTACATGGGTACTGGGGTTATTTCTAAATTTAAAAAAAAAAAGAGGCGTATTTCAGTTTGGACGACGGGAAGTATAATTTACTGCGGTACTTACATTCTCTTATCAGTCGGAGAAAGCTGCCGGTGCATGGCCAGAGAGAAGCCGAACAGACTCCCCGGCTCCCCGTCCTTCCTCACCACATTCTCGGTGTCCAGGTTGAAAGCCGAGAGTCGCTCACAGCCCAGCAGCAAGGTGAGCAGCCACAGTCCACAGGTGGTTCGACCCTCCATGACGAATGTGAAACTTCGGCTGAGAGAAGGCGAGTCCTCGGTGCAGAAGGTGCAGAGTGCGACAGAGGGGCTGTTAGAGGGCTGAAAGTTGTTCACAGGCAGCCCCTCCCACCGGCCTGTCCTCCTGGCACTTTCACCACCCCACCACACCTCAGAATACTTTATTATTACTCAGCCTTACACATTTCCGACGGAACTGATTGATTCTTTGTAAATAACAATTAAGAAAAATTGCAGCTGGTCAAAAAAAGTATATAAGTGGGTGAATGTTACCCATGGCTACATGATGTTCTTCTGGCTACACTGTCTGGCACCATCAGACTATAAATCTCCTTAGTTTAGCACCATAAAGGCCCCTGTTAAACTTCCTTGGAAACAGGCATAAACAAAACATTTAAAGTCCCACAAGTGGTAAAACGCAGGCATAATGCACCTTTAAAATCTGTGCAAGTTTTTTTTTTTTTTTTGTATCGTACAATATTAAAAGAAAAGTTATGTTTGAAAATTGCAAAACATCCGGGGCAGGGTTTGGCTCTGTGAAGCATCCCATCTTCTTTTAACCACAGTCTGTAAACATCTAGGAGCTGTGGAGACCAGTTACTGCAGTTTTGAAGTGGGACGTTGYCCCATTCAACAGTCGTTTGTTTTCTTTGCCATACTTTTTATTGCACCAAAATGTTTTCAAATCATAAGTTTGGACTAAAGGTAGGTGAGTTCAGCACCTGGACTCTTCCAAAGTCATGCTGTTGTTATAGATGCACTGTGTGGTTAAATGTCTTGCTGTAATTTGCAAGTCCTTCCATGGAAAAGGCGTTTAAATAGGAGCACATGTTCTAAAACCTGTATATACTTTTCTGCATTGATGGTGCCTTTCTAACTGTGTAAGACACCCAGCCATACTCTCTAATTGCACCCTTATACCATCAGAGAGGCAAGCTTTTGTACTGTGTGCTGATATTGGGCACAGATCACAGAGCAGTTTTCTACTTTGCTCCTGAGCCCACATGGAATCAGAACTGTTTTTAATGCAGTGGGGGGGGAGACCGGGGACGGTTGCAACACTTTTTGCATTTGACTCTGTTACTCAGAGATGGTTTGAATTAGACAAACCATATTTTAATACAACAAACTTACATCTGTCTGTTAATAGCCAAAACCATTTATACTGTAGATGATTAAAGCATGTACATTCTTCACAATTTGCATTTGAAAAAGAAAAGTCAGCTGTTGCAACAGACCCCGGGGCCAGGGATAGTTGCAATGTTTGGGGGTGGTTGCAACATATTACTAATACAATATATTTCACTGTAAATAAAAATTTTATTTTTATAGTTATATTATTGCTAAATTAATAAAAACTAAGTAATAATGATATTACAGTGTTATTTATTTATTACTTTTGATCAAATGATGAAAATAGATTTGCCTTGATGAGTAGACCTTACATACAGATGTCAAAGATTCTAATTGATATAAAATACAGATGGCTTTTTGAGACAAGAATAATAGAACAATTTGTGAGGCAATTAACTTCTCTTGCCTAGTGTCACTGTATGCCATTATGCAAAATTTACATTGAAAGAAACTGGGGTTTTAAAATCATAGTTGAAAACAATAACTGCAGAAAATACATCTTAAACACTTTTATGTTTTAAACTTTAAAACTGTCATGAATACCCAACAGCCTTTT